ATATGTACTGACTGATCAAATGATTTAAATCCCAAAACAACCAAATTGTGTCATTATTTTTTTCCGTTTTGTAGTTTTTTCTCTGGCCAGCAATTTTACGTTTTTTCATCTTCTTTCAATTGTACAACACACACGAAGCACCTGTTAAAGGAAAAACACATAACAAAAAATAAAAAGAACGGGATTTGTGTGTGGTTTTTAGTCAATTTTTTTGAGGCTAACCAATTTTTCCTCGCTCCAAACTGCTTGCTTGTAATGCGAGCGCTGGAAAAAAAGTAAAGAAAAATGCAAAAAATAAATATGTAAGAATGACAGGTTTTTTGTACGTTTTCGTCGTTAATCTGTCACTCTGCTTCCGACCCACTTCAAAGCCAAAAAGCGCACAACACATAAAACTCTTTCAAGCATTGATCCTATGAAGCATATTTTGGTCTGCGGGGCGTATGAGTAACATTGATTGCGTATCGAACGGTAGCAGCGGTAACAGTGGCAATATAGCATGATTATATGTTACTATATGTATGTGTGCATTTAGTTTTTTATGTCTGCTGAAGTTTTTGCTTTTGTTCTTTTTTGTTATTTTTGTTTTACATTTTTGTCCGCAACGGGCGCAGTTGTACTGCCACTGCACATGAAGTACAAATTTATAATTTATTTTCGTACGTCTGCTGATACGTTTTGGGAATTCACGTTTATTCTTCGACAATATAAATACACATATACATATGTAAGAACATTTCTTTTTTTAATATATATTTTTTCTTGTTCTCACAGGTTTTGAACATTCACTACAAGTTTCTTAGCACGCTGCTACTAGGAAAAAAGTTTATATTATACACTTACATCATACTAGATTAGACCTATATGAATGTATATTGTATCAGGTAGCTAGTCAATTCGACTATAAATACATATAAGTATATATATATATATATATGTTCAGTTTGACCCCTATGGTCGAGTGCCCGTGGGTACATGCTTGGCATTTTTTGGGTTAAATTGCTTGTGCACTAAATTTGCTACCGAAAGCTTACAATTTCACTTCGAGATATTCACCTTTCCAGCTACTCTTTTCTCATATTTCTTTGGTTATGTTTCTTATCCTTCAATCTGTCTTAATGTTGATGTGTTGTAACAATTTCTCCTATACTCACCCACTCACTTACATATATCGTAAGTTTGTAATTTCCTACATATAATTTACCTTCATATTTTATTTTTCAACATTACTCATTCGCTTAAATATTCGACTGTGGCAGCTTGGAAATTTTTTGTTTGCTTTCTGATAGCATTTTTAGTTGAACTATTCTTAGGTAGTGAAGTGAAGAAAATTGAATGTTTGCAGCACCCGCATATAATTGTATAGCTTTAAGCTGTATCTGTGAATGTGTTCTTCTTTCCAATTTTTTTTTGTGTTTCGTGTTGACACTGTTTTTCTGTTATCACTGTAAATGGCTAATAGAGAGCGATTGAAGTAAAATTGAAGTATTTCACTTATGCATTTTTCTACTTTGTGTGGTTGCTGCTATGATATTTTAAATTTTTTTTTTGATGGGTAAATAATTCAAAAATGGATTCATATCTATTACTTTCACCTATAACATTAGATTTACTTCGTTTTCATTTTATATCACTTTGATCTTAGACACTTAATTAATTTTTTTAAAAATTAATCTCACCAAATAAATTGAGACCTGAGTGTACTACAACGAGAAGCTCACAAGACGCGAACTAAATTTTCAATATAAGTGTAGTATTTTCGATAAAAACTTGATTTTTCAAAACCAAGTTACCAGACTACTACCCCAAGCCGCTGATAATGAAGTTAGTCTTTAGATCACAAAAAGTTTTCCGAAAAAACTATAAGATCATTAAAATCAAGAAAATATGTAACATACACTTAGGCGCACTATGAATTTTCAGATATCAAATATAAATATATATTTTTAAAAATAATAAAAACAATTCTTTGTTCAGGCAGTTTATAAGTTTATCGAAATTTGGAATGTTTTGATGAAATTGAATTGCAAATACCGTGACATATTTCTATTATATACTACACCTTTAGCATGAAAATCTGAAAAAAATGAGCAAGCCCTAAAATGTTGACACGAAATTCACTTTCAGTGCATTAAAAAACTTTTTTTGGATTAAGCCTTTATAACAAAGATTTTATATTAAGGTAATTTTGAGGCGTTAGGCACGTCAGTCCGTCATTTTAAACGATAAAGTTTTTGGATTTCCTCAAATTCGTTACTAAATTTGTCTAATTGAGTTGTTGTTGTATTTTATTATTTCATTTTCTTATGTATGCTCGTTAGGCAAATGTGGAATGTTACGCATGCAATGACATATTACTCATTAACTTCATTGGATTATTATAACACGTTATATAGTCGCGGCCCACTGTAATAGTATCCAATAATACAACTAGCGTAGGTAGGCTTTCCTCAAGTTCGTAGTTATATCGGCGTTGCGGTCATCATTATTTCATCAATAATGATTTGTGCTGGTTTCGATTACCTTCATACTCGTACATTCAACTTGACTGAACCAGCACAGACGTTGTAATGCGCTGAACATTGCGATATCTTTGAATATAATATATATATAATTGGCGCTTTGCAACCGCTTAAGCGATTTTTCCGACGGGCTCCTCCTCCAATTTGTGGTTTTGCGTCTTAATGTTTTTCCAACAAATGGAGGAACCTATAGTTTATACTAAGCCTTTATTTCATGACAGAAATACACTTGGAGGCCATGACATTCCCTGCCGAGGGGCGACCTCAATTAGGAAGTTTAGCTTAATTTTTTATTTAAATTGATTTTCTATTTCACATTTGCTTGAGTCCATAGCAAAGCCCATTTTCAATTGCAATTCTGCGCTTATTTTCGGTGCTGATATCGCTTTCAGTGCTTCGGGCGGTGTCAAAGTATATGATTATTTTGACAATATCGAAAGAATGGCGATCTGCAACAGTTTCGGATTCTTGTTGCCGCTCGTCCATGTCTGTGGATGTGCTTAATTTTTTCCACGTATTATGTCAGACCCATTCCCAATTACAGAGAATTCAACAGTAACTTCTCGCTTAAAATGTTCAACACGAGCAAAATCTTCAATATTTCCCAGGAGCTATGCAAAGTTTTAAAAAATAGAGACATTACTATATATATAGAAGATCACTTCATCTGAAATCTCGAATGGTAGTAAAAAGTTCGAAGAAATGAATTCCAACCTTTATATTATGGCGTATAAGCAGTCTCTAAGCAAATAAGGAAATAATAGATCTGTTTTTCGTGATATAAAGCTTCAATGATGAAGTCTCGTCAATGTGTTGGCCAGCGGCGATTGATTGTGTTGGTATCCCTACACCATCATCGTTGTTTCATGGTATCGGATTGCTTCCTCCAGACACTAAATTGATGAAGCCATCCACAGCTGCCTGTAGTGGGGGAATGAAGTTTCTAAGATCTCAATGCACACTGCGAATCTTTAACTTCATCACCATTTTCACCTCCACAGCTTAATTAGAGACTACGAATAGTATGAGTATCTCGCATTCTACCTCTCGTTCAGTATAACTTTTATGGGTTATAGGTTATTGTTTTAATCTCTCACCCATATGTTTGCGATTTCCATCAACCCAAAAATATTGTAGTTGTCATATGCTCACTGTGAGCAGTTTCTGCAATTACTCTAAATAGTCTTTCATTTGCTTTTATTTATTTTTCTTGTAACAAACTTCAACTCTTTTACTACACTCGACGCTTTTTTTGTGATAAATGACACTGGTACACTTAGGTTGGCTTGTGCAAGGTAACCTCACCTCCGCCGCGTGTGGTTGTCTTGAATTTAAATTAGTATGAGAATGTGTGCTTGCCGTGTGTATATATGTACGTACATGTGTACATTTCTTTGTAAAAGTCATTTTGTGCGTGCTTGCTTTTTATTGACTTTTTTCATATTGCCCATTGTTGTTGTTGTATGCTATTGTGGGGTGACATGCAAAATTTCATTTTTCAAATTAGTTGTGCATGCCAAAGGCTTATTATTTATAACGTACGACCATATGAAGCCAATAAAAGCAACGCAGGAGTAAAATCGTCAAGAACTTGACGAGGCCTACATTTAGGCGCAAACACAAGCATTGTGGAATGGATTTTTGTATTTGAGTACGTTTGTGTGTACGCTTTTGTTGAACTTTAATTATGGCATATGACATTTATTTATTATAACGGTACAGGAAGTGAAATATTTTTAAAATAAATTTGACCCCACCTGGGAGGAGAGTTATGCAGTAACAAACTACTTGGACATTCGATGTGCTATTTTTGAAAACATCACCGATTTCTGCTTGATTGCGCAAACGACCTTTTTCTATATTTTACAATTTTGCTGTGTGCAAAATTCTATTGTAATTCACATTATATATATTTATTTCAATTTCTATCGTATTTAAATAGAATAAATTTTAGCACGAGGGATTAGTGCGTACTGCTATACGAAAGTTCCTGGGTTCCGAATTTTAGCCCTACAAATAAACAAAATCAGCAGGGAATGTGAGCTTCTTCAATAGTATTTTCGACATGAAATAAAAATTTTTCATGGAAACGGACGAGAAGATCGGCCGACAATCACTCCAGCGGTAAAAAAGCGCCAGTTGCAAATGAAAATAAATACCTGGACTACACGTTTAAATATTTTTATGAATTTAGTATATAATTCATTTTTATGACAGCATTAAATCATGTCACTGACCTGCGTTCTAAAGAGCAATGTCCCGTTTTTTTATACGTATATTTATATGTATGGGCTTTGTATATGTATACACAAATTATTAAGCGCCAGTTAGGCGTTTAACTGCTTAAATTGCCTTAAGCCAAATATAAACTAATTAACATTATTTCTTTTAAACACTCTATATACATACATACATACACCAATGTGCATAATAAAATAATAAAATAATTTTTCTCTTTTTGCTTTACTCTTTTTCTAGGTGAGTTTTTGCCCATTGGAATTCAACTAAGTGCGCTGAGGCGGCTTTTGCTCATGCTCGTACACAGTATATATTGAGTGAGTATGAACAAAACCGTAAACAAAATAATTGTATAAGTCAGTGATTTTTAAGCACCCTGACTGGGCTGGGCTGACCGCTGATTACGGAGGCTTAAGGTGCTTTTTTAATAATAAAAGAATGCGTCTCGGCAATTAATAGCAAATAATTAATGATAGCGACACAGTTGAAAGTAATAAAGAGCTAGAAAAGGGTTTAATATTTCATCATTAATTTTATGTTATTACTGTTATTCCTTAGTTATTTTAAATTAAAAGTGATTTATTGATTTATTTTTCTATATTTATATTGTAACATATGCAACAGTAATTAATAAATACAAAAAATGCGGCGCTAGCCATCAGTCGTCATTGTAATACAGAAATTGATAACAGAGTTTCAAAAAGAGTTGAGTGAAAACTTAAATCGATAAATATTTAAGTGTAAATATAACAGCTGCGTAAAAACTAGATTAAATTAAAAATATAATATATATTAGTATACTCTAAGAGATATCTACCATTCTGCTTTGAAAAAAATAAAGGTTGCCTTTTTTGGATATGAGAATTTCAATAAAGTAACCCTTTTTTGAGTTGGAGTTAATACTTTTGACAGCTTCCACTTACTCCGGAACAATGTTTGCAAATCGCACAAATTTTATACCAAATGATGGTTCCGTTGTCGATGCCGATTTTCACATGAATTTTGGTCAATGATGATGCTTATTTTTGGTTGAAAGGGTACGTTGAGAAACAAAAATGTCACATTCGTAGTTACGGCAACCCCTGAGCCATTGAAGGGACGTCTTTACGTTCAGCTTAGTGAATGTGTGATTTAACACCATGGAGTGGGAGAGTATGGAGCCCGACACGTTTGACGCTTTTGAAGAGAACATTCTACGCGTCATACTGATATATAGCCTCAATTTCTGCAAATTTATTGAATTTTAGATGCCTCAGCTGGAACATGGTCGAAGGGTCTTAGTTAGCAAATGGGAATGAATAAATGATGTGTGATCCAGTCTTAGTCGCTTGTTTGATTTAAGAATGTTAAAGGTCAAATTTGTCGGATGGAATACGGTCCAGAAGTTTTTTTTGCGTCAAATTATGCGGCACCCATTTTGTATCCAGCCTTCTGCATATGGTTCAAAATGGTTTGGTGACTAACTCCCATCTCCTGGGCGATGTCACGAGATGCCATATGCCGGTCTAAGCCGATGTATTCCATGATTTGATCGGTATTTGTCGTCACAGGTCTTCCGCCGGCTGGCTTATACATGGTGTCGTTTTCACCGGCTCTGAATCGTCGAAACCATTCTTCCGCGGTTCGAAGTGATAGAGTACCATCCCCCAAAACACCATTAATCTCACGGAACGTTTCTCTAGCGGATTTGCCTTTAACGAAGGAAAACTCTAAAATAGCGCGATTTTCGGCGTTAGTGAACTCCATGTTTAAACGTCTATAACTGTTGAACGCAATATCCAAACTAATCATGCATAGCGTTGTTTTGTAGGTTATGTCAAGACCTTTCAAATTATGTATAGTGTTGCCAGATACGAGCTCTGTAGCGCTTTGTATCTACCCGCAAAATTCAAAAGACAAAAAAGCGGATATTTGACAACCTAATATTAATTTTGGCATTAAAAAATAAATTTGGCATTTATAACATTTTACCAATATTTTTAAGGATAATATTGTTAAGGAAAGATTTTGCCATATTATTTCTTCTCATTTAGGTTGTTAAAATATTCATGGTGCATAGTCGTTATATACCTTAGTAACTCCATCATATTGTTATATTTAGAAGTTGAAATGGGACGTATATTGTTGTATTTATTTTGTTGGAGTTTTTTGATCTTCCTTGACAATGTCATTAATCAAGTATTTTGAACTCTTTATCCAATTCCATGGATTCTTTGTAAAACATTTTATAAGGCTCGCATCCAACATATTCTGAACCAATTTACAGGTTCGCCAGCAGTGTTCTTTAATCTTTTATGAATTCCTTCTTTCAAAGGTTTGGTAGAAAAAAATCTTCACGTTTCATTTCAGTTAAAATAAATTTCTTACTCTTTCGACTTATTTTTATGGTTTCATAGTAATTCTGAAGGACATACATTAAATAATTTTTCCTCAAAGCCATTTCTACCACTCCAAAATCACTATCTTTTGGCAAAACAGAATATCCTCATAGTAAAAACTTATGGTCAATAATATCTGCATTATTTTCGACCATGAAAGCTAAGATATGTTCATGATTTTTAGTTTTTTGAGGTGTTTTAATATACAAGATCCTCTTTTTTGAGAACCTCTCGATGTCACAGTTTCATCCCAAGCATACATGTAAACTTCAATATCGTGAAAATAATAACTGACTAATTCTCAAAATCATATCCATTTAAAGTGTTTATAGAACAAAGATTATAAGGATTGTTATAATTGTTATGATCTGATTTTAAAGTTAATGGGGAAAATTCGAAATCTCCGGAACAAAACAAACAAACATATTTATTTTCAAGCATTTTTTTTTCCAAAGCTTATAGCAGTCAGATTTATTTTTAATAAGAATATTTATTTATATTTGATTGAAACTAGTGAATATTTCAATATGTAAATTGCATATCCATTCTTAATTACTATCCCATTAAAGTAAGTACATATGTACAACATGATGTACATACAAACATAAAAGCATTTACTTAATACAAAATACCATAAAACTGCCAGATATTGAGACAGCTGAAGAAGATTAATACGTATCTTAGAAAAGCGATGAGTATATGTGTTGAATGGGAGGGACAAAGAGAGAGAGTGTGGTGGAGAGACGTGTAGAGAGAGGGCTCTGGTATGACTAGTAACATGAAAAAATTAATAACACCAAGCGCTGTCATCGCGTCTACTTAACGATATTAAAATGCTTTTAAAAATAAAAATATCTTTTTAATAATATATGAAAAAAAAACAAATATTGAAAAATATGCCACATAAATATACATAAGCTAAAGAACTACCGAGACTACAGAAATCCATTAAATGGATCTGCAGAATTTTTATTAAAATCATTGTATTGGTTAGTTTGTTGATTTCGTAAGTTTTTGATTAAAGTATAAAATCAGTAAAAATTCGAAAAATAAAAGCTGCCTTCGATAGCAGGAAGAGTATAGCAAGAGGAGCGGCCTCTAAGACGCTGTGTCTGAATTTGAAATTGCCGCAAAACTTATACAACTATGCAAACTGACGCTGGGTGGGTGTAGACCAAAAGCGCAATCAGACTTGGAAATGACCTCCGCGAGCCATTTAATACCAAACGAGGTTTCAGATATTTTCCATTTGATGCTGAAGAAAACAGCACGTGCTGCAGAGCTAAAAGGAGATGGTAAAGTCTTTTACAGGAGTGCACAGCTACTAGCGTATACCGATGTTATTGATATCATAGGCCTTAACAAGATTCGATATAGAAATGAAGCAAATAGGTCTGATAGTAAACGAGGACAAGCCAAAATATTTCCTGTCATCAAACTAAAAGTCATCACATTCATGGTTCGGCACACAAATCGCTGTAGTACAATAAATCATAACTTTGAAGTCGAAGAAAACTTCGCCTATCTTGGAAACGGTATTAAAACCAACAACAATGTCAACCTTGAAATCCAGCGCAAAATCAACAAATAGGTGCTACTTTCTTTTGGAAAAAAAGAGTAAGAAACAATGTTTGTATTTCTTTGCCATCGGAAAACTTCACTAACCTAAACACATTTACATTTTTCACGAACAGGAATGGTATGTAAGTACCAGAAGGAGAAGAGCAAGACCCATCAAAATACATATACCGATCGGATCAGAGCAGCGAGCTTAGTTGATTTAGCTATGTACCCAGACTACTCTTTCAAGTTTCACGGTATTTCAACCTAACTTGGTATGCAGATAGATATTTATACATTCGTCAGAACCAGCTGGATCGGACCACTATAACATAAAACCCATACACCACCGTTTTGTTCAGATTTTTTACCATTTATTTTCTGTTGAACTGGACTCCTGCACCAACTCAAGTTTTAAGCAAATCCCAACTTCTCGTAATTACTTCTTCATAGATCTATCCAAATAATAATGTAAGTTAGATTGCTGATATTTCCTTCCATTAAGCATATCACAATATTTAGATGCCCGGATTGGGCGTCAAGAGCGGGAGTGACCTTCAATCGACTACAAATTGACCAGTGATGGCTTCCATTTAATTCGATTTGGTTGCTCGCTGGCTATTCTTTCCTGTTTAGTATAAATATTTACACATATTCTACGTACTTTTGGAACCTCCCTCGTAAGTACGAACACATTTACTTATTTAATAACGAATTGAGGACAAAATTGTATCTTTAAATATACATACATACTTAAGTTTCTCTCATTCAAAATGACAGTTTGCTAAAGTACATAAATAATTGTAAGTAAATATGTATACAAATGTCTCCAAAATCAAAGTAAATATGCATGTACAGGTACACATGTAAATTAACCGCTTTCAAATTCATATTAAATTTTGTTTACAATGCCATATTCAAATAGTATAAAATTGAGATCACCAGCTGTCAGCCATGGCAAATGTCATTAACCCACAAATAGCAGAAAAGCCGCGGAATTCAAGCCGCAAACGCAAATTAACAAGAATTCGCAAAGAAATTCTTCTCTTCAAGTCAACTTTGTTTGGTTAAAATGTGACGTCTTCACTTTTACTCATGCATACGTACATAAATTAATGTGCGAGTTCGATGCTCACTCCATATAAAACAGCCAAATATCTTTCGCTACCAAAAGATGTCTTTATTTCGTAAATCAACCGCCGTCGCCTTCGCTTGTATCAAAGCTAACCGCGAGTCTCTGGCATGGAGCACCGTTAACGGCAATGGCACTACACTTATGTACAAGCAATTTCCTCAATTTTCTTCGTTATAGACATAAGAAGAAATACATGTGACACATATGTTTGTTTGCATGAAATAGCAACAAGCGCAAGAATAACAAGTAAAAGT